GGGGGATTCGGGGAAGAAGAGCCCCAGGGGGAATAAGCAGGGGACGAAGATGGGATGAAACGCGGGACGGAAGGGAGGGAGAAGGCGCGGGGAATGTGGGAAGGAGGAGAAAATGGCAGAGAGAACAAGATGGCAAGTAGGAGAAGGGGGAGAAGGTGGCAGGAGGAGGAACTTCAAGATGGTAAGGAGCTGGAGTAGTGGGGGAAGGAGAGGGGAAGAAGAGGATGAAGAAGATGACATGGCAAGGTTGCGTGTAAATGTGTGAGGAGGAGGAAGGAAGAACATGGCAAGAAGCAAGAGGAGGCATGGAGGAACGCGGGGGGAACCTGGGGGGGAAGGAACAGGGGAAGGCGAGGGGTGGGGGATTCCGGGAAGAAGAACCTCAGGGGGAAGAAGGCGGGGTCGAAAATGGGATGAAACGCGGGATGGAAAGGAGGGAGAAGGCGTGGACGCGGATGGGATGGAACGGGGGACGGAAGGGAGGGAGAAGGCACGGGGAATGTGCGAAGGAGGAGAAGATGGCAGGAAGAAGAAGATGACAAGTACGAGAAGGAAAGGGGAGGGAGGAGTAAGATGGTAAGGAGCTGGACTAATAGCAGAAGGAGACGGGAAGAGGAGGAGTAAGAAGATAACATGGCAAGGTTGTGTGTGTATGTGTGAGGAGGAGGAAGGAAGAACATGGCAAGGAGGAAGCCGAGGCATCGAGGAGCCGGAGGATACAGGCAAAACATTCCTCCTCAATCCCTACATCCACGCAAGGAAGAGGACCTTTTTGCTGTCGTTCTTGCCTGGACTCTAGATTCTAGAGCTCTGTCTGTAACCTTGGCTGAGGAGGAGGACGATGCAAAGAAGATTGATGATATAGGCCTACATTAGCCTTTGCAAATGACACGAACGAAACAAGTCAGCCAGGTTACAAATACAGTCCCACATCCCTAGATCCAGGTAAGCAACAAGAAGAAATGAGAAAGACACGTCCTTCAAGTGTTTCTGTTCTTAGACAGAAATTCTGCCTCGAGCACTACATGTTTTTCTCCCCCGACCACTCTACGTTCTTCTCAGACCTTTAAAAAACGGTATTTTTCATTTCGCTGTCATTGTTATTTGAATCGGAATTATAGGGCTATATCTTTAACCTTGGTTGTGGAGCAAGAACATGGAAAGATGGGTAAGGATACAAGCCTACATCTTTCTAAAAAAATGACAAAATTACAAAAAATCTGGCAACTTATTAATAAAACCATAAATTTGTCCTGCTTCGGTCTTCGAAGGAGTGTATTTCTTATTTATTTGTAATCCAAGTTTATAGCACTATACTTTAAAAATAGCAGTTTAAGATTTGGAAAAACATGCAAATCTTAAGAGTTATTCTTACAGCGAAATTATCAAATACAATTCTTTTATCTCTCTCTCTCTCTCTCTCTCTCTCTCTCTCTCTCTCTCTCTCTCTCTCTCTCTCTATCTATCTCTATCTATCTATCTATCTATCTATGTCTCTATCTATCTCTCTCTCTCCATGTTTGTAAATTTGTTTATTCGATACTCCTGACGATCTACACTGGAACCACGGTCATTAAGCAACTACCACGTTGCTCGACGCTGCTTTCTCTCTCTCTCTCTGTTTTTATCTGTATGTTTGCTCTCTGAGCCACAGCGACGCTCAACGATGCTCGCCCTCTTTGAAATTCTTTTTTGTCGCTCCCGACCTTGAGGAGTCTTTCTCACAATTCAGAAATCTAGTAGCGGGGTCGTCCAAATTTTCCTGGTTTGGTCTCCAAGAAGTGAAATTCCGTATTCAATCCGTAAGCGGGCGCTTGGCGTTCAATATTGTTTGTTTTACCGGGTCATCGCTTTCCGAAATTTGGTACCCAGCTCTCTAAAATTTCAATTTTCGAGACGACCGTTGGCGGAAAATCTAAATTTTAACGATATTCTTGATGACGATCCCAGCGGCTGGACGGTCGGAATTATTTGTTTTGGCGGGAGTCCGGGCTCTTCGAATTTTTGTCGCTAACGGTCCGAAAATTACACTTTTGCAAAAACCTTGGCGGGAATTTGACAAATTTTAAAGATATTCTTTACGGGGATCCCAGTAGCTGGGCGCGGGTCGTGGCTTTCCGAAATTTGGTCACTAGCTCTCTAAAATTTCAATTTTCGAGACGACCGCTGACGGGAAATCTAAATTTTAACGATGTTCTTGGCGACGATCTCAGTGGCTGGGCGATCGAAATAATTTGTTTTGGCGGGAGTCCGGGTTCTCAGAATTTTTGTCCCTAACGTTCCGAAAATTACACTTTTGCAAAAACCTTGGCGGAAAATTGGCAACTTTTAAAGAAATTCTTTACGGGGATCCCAATCGCTACCGGCTCAAAATTTGTACTTATCAAAAATCCGTTGGCGGGAAATCCAAAATTGCGAATGATGTTCTTGACGTGGGTCGCAGTAGCGGGTGTTCTCATTTTATTTCGCCCGTTAGCGACGCTCTTCCGGCCGTCCTTTGACACACTTTCTCGCGCTAACACCGAGTCTTCTCTTTTGTAGGTAACCCCATCGTCATTTCTAGATGCCAGATAGCTTATCGTATCATATCTTCCATGTTCAAGAAGTCCTCCGACACACTTTCTCGCGCTAACACCGAGTTTTCTCTTTTGTAGGTGACGCCATCATCATTTCTAGATGCCAGATAGGTTGTCGTATTATATGTTCCTGCCATGGATTCTTTAACCGAAAGATGTAGTCAGAGTACTCACAAGATTAACTGCGTGAGATGGTTTCCAGACCTTTCTCAATGTAAGAAAAGTGTTGATGCCAAGAGTGTCAAGACGAAGAATAGCAGGTGGTTTCCGGACCTGCGTCAATGTTGTACACGCGGAGGCGAGAAGCAGAACCCTCTACCGAAGCTCAGTGCAACTGGTGAGAGGACCACCAATGTCAGTTTGTTTCCGAAGCGTCCGTGATCGAACACGACAACAAAAAAGGTTATTGCGCCATGCCGAGCAGCAAACACAGTGATGGGTCTTTGCGCAACTGGCAAAACGGGGAGTACAATCCAGATAGAGCGCCCAGGGAAGCGGCAGTGCCCGAACGTTGAAGGCGAACAATCCAGAGAGAGAGACGATGTACAGGACATGAGCGAGAACTTTGTTGTGAACGAAACGTTCTACGACAGCGTGGCGCAAGAATTGCGTGACAACGGCACTGAGGAAGAGGAACCCAGTGACGACGATGAGGAGGAGGGCGAATCGAGCGACGACGATGAGGAGGGGGAGGAAACGAGCGAGGATGCCGATTCAGAAGACACAGACTCTGAGGAAGATGAATGGAAGAACGAGTCGGGAATTGATGTCGACATGTTCAAGAAGAGTCTATCTGGAGAACTTTTAGGAGAAGCGAAGCAGATAATAGCACAGGAGGTGAGAAGAGTACTGTAAAGCAAATCAAGCAAGAGTGAGAAATCTCCTTACAACTTGGGAAAGCGCGGCAGGAACGCACGTGTGTACAACAAGAAAGCTAACTACCACGTGAACATGAAGAATGTCGAACTAGTTCTGAAGGAAGATTGCTGCAAGGCCAACTGTTACAAGAAGTTCACGGCGGTAGATGTTTTCTACAAGCGCGAAGAATTCTGGGCGATGAAACAACCTAAGCAACTAAACTTCTTTCTCGCAAAGATGAGGGCCGCGTCGTGCTTTTCGGATGAGGGAGATTTAAAGGTGTTAAGGGTGACGTTCAACGACGTAAAGGTTTGCACAAAAGCGTGGGGAAATCTGTAGGGATGCTCGACTACACGTGTTGCAAAGATACGCAAAGAATTCAGAGAAGGAATGGTGATGTACGAGCATGCAAACAAAGGATCAGTCGGATTATCTGCTTCATCACAGCAAATTCTCGCCTGGTTGCATGAATATTTCCGATACAATACAGAGAGTATGCCAAACAACGAGCAGTTTCATCTTTCAGATACTCTCCGGCGCAGAGACGTGTACGACGTCTTCAAGCGAGACTGCAAAGAGCTGTACACGAATAAGACTCTTCCTTCCCGTTCCAGATTTATGACCATTTGGAGGGTTCACTGTCCGAAAGTTCTTATTCCTGGATTGAAGAGGTTCTCGGTCTATTCCACATGTCTGAAATTCAAGAAAAGCCGTTCACAGGCAACAAGTGCGTTCGAACGAGGTAATGACATAACCTCAATGCTTATTTTCTCTCCCCCTGTCTTCCTGACCCTTCCTCTCTCTCTCTCTCTCTCTCTCTCTCTCTCTCTCTCTCTCTCTCTCTCTCTCTCTCTCTCTCTCTCTCTCTCTCAGTGTTCATTCTTCGATGTTTGCCACAGCGCGACTGATTGTTTTGAATTATATCCCTTTAAGTTGTTTTTGCAGAAGGTAGAGGCTGCGACTTGCACATTTACGGAAGGATTCTCATGGAACTCTTCTTCGTCTCTCCTATTTCTTCTTCTTCTTCCTCTCTCTCTCTCTCTCTCTCTAAATGTTCTTCGTGTAGAAAGAAAAATTAATCTTGTGTCAGTGCAAACTGGGAAGGATTCTTATGAAAGTAGTATGTTTGGTAAAGAAATAGTTAAATTTCTTCTCTCTATCTCAGTTATAGCCCTATAACACTTTGTCTCTTATTCGTCTTCGACTTTTCAGAGTTAAAGCCCTTTACCACTTTATCTAATAATCGTCTTCGTGACGGCTGCGTTGCCTTCCCCGAACTCGTTTAGTCAATCAAAACAAAAATTTTGGGGAAGAATGAATTGAAGATTCTACGACGTTTGTGGACTTACTTTTGTGAGTTATAGTCCTATAACACTTTGTCTAATAATCGTCTTCGACTCCTCAGAGTAAAAACCCTTTAACACTTTATCTTTTAGCCGTCTTCGATTTTAAAGCCCTTGTTATTAGTTATGTCTGTGTCGCCTTGCCCAAACTTCGAATGTTATGATGCACGACACTTGTGGACTGGCTTTCCTGAGTTATAACCCTATAACACTTTGTCTAATCATTGCTTTCGATTTTAAGGCCCTTCATCGCGATTTGTCTCTTTTCTTTAACATGTTTTGACAAAGTAACCGCTTGTTTTGTTATTTGCACAGAAATGTTTGGCAAGGCACTAGAGAAGCACCGGTTAATGCAAGCAGAAGAGAGACAAAAACTCAGTAAGCATCGCCACAAGGTTTCAAGTCATCCGTCAGAGTATGTCGCAATGATCATTGATGGGATGGATCAGGGCAAGACTATACTGCCACACTTCACTAAGGTTCCAAAGGATTCGAAACTAAAAGAAGGGAATTTTGTGAAAGTTCACGTGGTTGGGGCTAAGGTGCTAGGACTCTCATCGAACGCCTCTGCAACTGTTTTCTTTGACAACTTCAAATCAGATTCTAATTGCATGCTAACTGTTCTTCATCGTCAGATTTCTCAACTTCCTGTACCTTTTCCGAGAGTCCTGTATCTTACACTTGATAACACTTCGAAAGAGAACAAGAACAAATTTGTATTGTCATATCTCATGTTCTTGGTAAAAATGAGAGTGTTTAGTAAAGTTAAGTTAAACTTTCTTCTTGTAGGTCACACGCACGAGGACATCGACCAGATGTTCAGCTGTTTCTCGAGAAAGCTGGYTGYACATRGTGCGTTCGATCTTCYTGAGTTGCAACACRTGATTRGGGAGYCRTACAAGGTAGAACAAGATCATGRCGTGCACGTTGAGGAGATGACGGAAACAATGGACTGGAAGTTGTACGTTCAGGATCATCTACATAATGTCAATGATATTAGCTTCAACCAACATTTCCGAATCAAGCGCAACGACAACGGGGAGGTGCGCATTTGGAGCAAGCAATATCATAACTCGCAGTGGCAGCCGAACGACAGAGAAGGTCTGGACATCTTCAAGTCAGAGCCAACAGGACAAGTTGAAGCTTCGCCAAAGCATGCAATCTGATCTTTGGAAGCAAGATGTCGACTTACTTGTCGGGGTGAGGACGAGAGGCGTGATAAGGTCGTCAGCAGTGAAGGTCATGTCCGTAATCGAAAAGCGGGAGGATCTTCGAAATTCAAGGTTGACGATGATGTACTTTCCATCGCCGCCTTGAAAGCCAACGTACATGCCCTGTCGCATTATGCTCAACCCCACAACATTGAATGGTGGAATAAGTTTTATAGCAACGCAGGAAACTCTCGACCTTGAGGACACAAACCTCAAAGAGCCTTTCGCGTGGCCCTCTGTAACAGCCGATGTCAGCAGAGCAGGTGAAAAAGTTCCACCAACCGCTAACGGCTTTGACCAACGCTGGGATGATCTTTTCCCTCCTGAGAGACCCATCTACATCGGCGCACGAAAGAACAGACAGTTTCGAGAGGATAGAGACGGAAAGTACGATGATATCGAGGTCAACACTTTCGTCCCATTACGAGCTTGTTCGGGGCAGGAAGAGAGAGGCAAACCTTACCACATTGGCAAGGTTGTCAAGCTGCTAGCAAGTAAACGATTCAAAGTTGCTTGGTTTGGACAACGTGAGAAAGGAGAGGGTTATTATCCTCAGTTCAAGACAAATCCTCACGGAAAGACTACGAGAGAGCCTTCCGAGGACGACTGGAGCTACGGCGTTCTTGGCAACGGAGGATGTCGACTAGGAAGACCTTCTAGGAACCGATTGCTTTGGAGGTTGGCAGAGTGTCATCGAGATCGAGGTCATTTCTCCTGCCGCATTAGATCAGGTTTCCTTTTGTCGCTGTTCAACAGATTATCAGAATTTAGTCGTACGCGACTTGTAAATTTTTGTAAATATGTACAACAGTAGGTTGCAGCTCGCAGCCAGGCACGTGTGGCCAACCTTTTTGTTATCTGAGTCTGGTCGTTAGCGGCTTGTAAATTCTTGGAAATTTGTAGAACAGTAGGTCGCAGTTCGCAGCCAGACACGTGTGGCCAACCTTTTTGTTTTCACGATCTTTTTCAAATGTACTTTGCGGTTTTTCACTTTACAATTTTGAGATTTTGAAAATTGACTCACGATTTGCCGTTTGGGTTCCGGCTTTTTGATTTGCGGTTTGTCATTCATTTTTTGACCAAAACATTTGTCACATGAACAATTGTCGATTTGCGGTTTGTCATTCAGACTCTCACGACATTTTGCTCTTTTCTACTTCCCTTAAAGTCGTGTTAAGGGCGTACAAGGTCGTGTTCGAATTTCATTCAATTTTTACAACATTCAACATTGCGTTTACAGCGCTTCAAACACCTCATCGATTGCGGATCAAATTTTTTACGCTCGCCAAGCTTCATGTCAAATTCTCGTGAACTTATGCTATTCTTTTACTTTCCTGAAATTCACGTTATAGACCTATAACTTCATGTTCAAATTTCGTGGAATTTTCACGACTCATAACACTGTGTTTTTAGGGCTTTAAATACTCGACTGATAATGGACTAAAATTATGCTCTTTTTTTACTTTCCCAAAATTCGCGTTATAGGCCTATAAGGTCGTGTTTGAATTTCGCTCAATTTCCACGATGTTAAACATTTCGTTTATAGGGCTATAAACACTTGACGGATTGCGGACTAAAATTATTGTATCCGTGTTCCGTTTTCAAACTGTCGTTAAAGGCCTTTAATTCGAAAAGTGCGGTTTTCGAATTTCGAGAGAATTTCCCAGGGTCTCTGTCAAATCTCGCGAGATTCGTTTTTTTTCTGCATTTGCGCAAATTCGAGTTATAGGCCTATAAGATCCTGTTTGGAAGTCGTTGAATTTCGGTGACGGTCGAATTTGGTCAATTTGGCTGTCCACAACTTTTGGAGATTTGAAATCAGTTGTCGTTGGCTGTTTTTTGCTTTCCTCTACATCCCGTTTTTTTACTACCTTCGTTTTCAAGCTTCTATTTCCTTAATATTATGAGTGCAAAGAAAGAGGTTATGTTCGCCTTGCCAGGTTTTCGGTTAGTTCTTATGTCCTTGGATTAGGTTCCGAAAAAGGCTCTTCTGTTTTGAAACAAAATACTACTTTCAGTGTACAGTACTGACTGGTCGTTTCGTTATGCACTGAAATCTCCATAAATTTGAGATCTTTTCGTCGGCCATGAGTTGGAGTCGCCTGCTCGCCTTCAAAATTGGCTCTTTTTTCCACGTTGTGGTCGGCCTCGTATATTTACTGATTTTTAGGGGGGGGTCGGTTTCGTACATTTGCGCACGAAACGGTGCAAAATCCACCTTTACTTCTAAAAAAAATGCTATGTTCCATTGACGTTTTTCTGTCTATAGCATTTCTCTGGTTTTGGTCTGCTTCTCTGGTTTTCACGAATCCATTGTTCCCCTCTGAGATCATCCTACTCTTAGTGGTTCAGCGACATGACATTACTTATGACGTATTGTTTTTTTTTTTTTTCAGCACTAAGGCAATTGCCTCCGGGAGTTTAGGATTCTATCATGCTACATTTCATTTCCTGCTGTTAGTGAGGA